AAACCCTACCCCCTTGTGGCCTTGGGGGGGTAAAGAGGTTTAGCCTAAACCCTAAACCCTAAACCCTATGCCCGAGGCGCAAAGCTCCGAAGGCTTCCGCAGCGTATAGGAATTGTAGGTTTACTGGGAGGGGTTGGGGTTTTGGGAGACTGACGCTGGGTGGGAGGAGAGATGTCACATCTAATTAAAGGGTTTCTAGTTGCTTCTGTCCTAGGGTTCGTGAGGGCTTAGTTGCTTAGTTGGCTAGTTGTTTAGTGTTACGGCCTAGGGTTTACTTGGCTGCACTAAGCTATAAATTAAACTTTTAGCTGCCTTACTTGGAAACCCAATAAACCCCAAAAGGCTAAGGATCTAAAGTTTTTAGGGTTTGCAAGCCCTTTTGCAGCAGGCTTGCAGAAGGTCCTCGCCTGGATGATGCCAGCCCTAACCCTAAACCCTGAACCCTGAACCCTTGAAGCCCTAAACCCAAACCCGTCCCGCCTCGCTTGATCTTGTTGGCCGCATCCGCCACCTGGGGTCTCGCATTCTAGCAAGGATTGGTTGGTTTAGGGTTTAGGGTTTAGGGTTTAGGGTTTAGGGTTTAGGGTTTAGGGTTTAGGGTTTAGGGTTTAGGGTTTAGGGTTTAGGGTTTAGGGTTTAGGGTTTAGAGTTTAGGGTTTAGGGTTTAGGGGTTCAGGGGCATAACTTAACTCTGCAGGTTTTGAGGCGGAATCGTACACACAAGGCAAGCCAGACAGGCGCAGATCAGATAAACGGCTACTTCAAGAAAAGTATCTATCCCTCGACCCAACCCTGAACCCTAGACCTTCAACCCTAAACCTTTAGCAGAAAGGAAGGAGTCGGTCGATGCTGCTCCACTTTCGAAGAGAACTGCCGCAACTTTGTGGTAGCTACTTCAGCAGATGAAAGATAACAGGGCTTCACAGGGTTTAGGATTTAGGGTTTAGGGTTTAGGGTTTAGGGTTTAGGGCAAACCAAATGGAAAACCTGGGACCTTTTCCTGCCGGGCTGTTTCAGGAGCCGCGGGGAGTTCCGAGGAGATCGACTTTCGACCCTCCCAGCAAAACCTTAGGCCTGAAGCCCAGGGGTTTAGGATTTTGGGTTTAGGGTTCGGGGTTTAGGGTTTAGGGGAATCTGGGATAAAAAATGTGTACCCTGTACCATTGTGTCCCCGGCGATATGGGGACTCCTTGTAAGGTGCCTACCAGTACTTCCCGTAATTGTGCCTACCAGGAGGGGCCCCCTTACTATACTAACTGTAGTTAAGGGACCTATTACCTAATTTAGGATCCTTATAACCCAATTGAGGGCTCTTATAACTCTACTTATAACTAGGGGGCCCCTCCTTGTACCAGTACTTCCCCACAATTCCCCATTAATGAACTCGCAAGCTCCACCACTAATCCTGCTGTCATAAGGGTGCCGAAGGGTGCCCTGTTTTGGGGTTGCTTTATATAAGGAACCTTGAGCCAAAAAAACCCTGAACCCTGAACCCCAAACCCTAAACATCCCTAAACCCTAAACCCTAAACCCTAAACCCTGAACCCTGAACCCTGAACCCTGAACCCTAAACCCTAAACCCTAAACCCTAAACCCTAAACCCTAAACCCTAAACCCTAAACCCTAAACCCTAAACCCTAAACCCTAAACCCTAAACCCTAAACCCTACCCAGTCCATTTCAGCCCAAGCCGCCGAGACAGCCATTTGCTGCCGAAGTCGTCGGGCGATTCCCACAGAGCCGTAGCCATACGCCTTTTGAGAACGCACTAAACCCTAAACCCTAAACCCTGAACCCTAAAACCAACACCCTAAACCCTAAACCCTAAACACTAGCCCCTAAACCCTGATTCATGGGCTACAAGGAGGTGCCCCCTTACAATACTAACTGTAGCTAAGGAACTTATAAGCTAATTTAGGATCCTTACAACCAAAATTTAGGGCCTCTTGCAACTAGGGGATCCTCCTTGTATAAGCAGGGGCCCCTATATGAGGGACCCTTGTATAATCTTCTTCACCTATATAACCCCTATACGTACCTTATATAGTCCCTGCATACCTAACCGAAGTAGCATATAAATAACCCCTAAATAACCACAAAGGTCCCTTATAAGGGTTACTATTGGCTGATGGAAGGGAGCTGGGGAATTCTAGACACCCTCAAAATTCCTTTAAACAGGCTATATTATATAGAAGGAGGGGGTCAGAAGTCATTCCCTCACACTTTGACATAATAAGCTTCCTGCCTGGTGTGGTACGAGTATTACCCTAAACCCTAAACCCGAAACTCTAAACCCTAAACCCTAAACCGGAGGCCTTTGTTGATGGGGCGTGCTGGCCTGCGCCAGGGGCACATAGCGGCGTCGCCGGCGTTTCTCCTGGGAGCAAGTGGACTCAGAAGAAAAGAAAAGACTAAGGGCTAGGATGCTGAGCCACCCTAAACCCTAAACCCTAAACCCCAAACCCATGTAAGGTTTAGCCGTCTAGCTGACAGCCCGACTACTGGCACTGGTCATTCCTTTCGCGGTCATCGCTGGCAGAGTTCCAATCATGCACACGCTTAGGTCCATTGAGTCTTTCATGGCTGGTCTTTGTGCTCGTCTCTCAAGAGTTTCGTAAGCATGAAGTTGAGAGGGATGTCAGGTCAAGAACGGTGTTCGTCACACGTGCCATGATGTTATCTGTTGTTTCATGGGTGTATGTAATTCTGCATGTAGCCATGACATACCAGTACCAGACATCCCATGAACTTCAGGACGTGGGGCGGATCCTTAAGACAATGCAGCCGGCTATCCGGGCATCATGCAAAAAAAAACAAAGACGACTCCAGCCGCACGTCCTTCCGTCAGGCAAGCGTCCAAACACACATGCGACAACAAATCGAACAGAAGCAAGTACACAACAAGACGTAGGCGCAGACATGAACAACAAGCACGCGCCCACCAATCCAGCAACTAACCGCGACCGTGATCACCAAGCAAAAGCAAGCAAAGCAAAGCAGGCAAGCCCTAAACCCTAAACCCTAAACCCTAAACCCTAAACCCTAAAGGGTCAAACAAGCTCCTCGGTGTCTTCCGGCGGCTCCGGCAACATCACCTGTCTGAACGCTTGGCCCTGAACCCTGCGTGAACCGCAAGTAGAGGAACTTTTGCCTTAAAGAAGGGTAGTGTACCCTTCATTATTGGGACAAATACCACTTGTTTGCATACAAAGGTTACTCTAGAGGTATATGTACAAAGCCTTAGACTTAAGCCCTGCAAAACAAAACAGCCCTTCACCCCTCCCCTGAACCCTGAACCCAAACCCCTCCCTAGCCCAAACCCTGAACCCCCTGATCGGGTTTGTGGAAGGCTCCGGGTGGAGGAAGTGTACAGCCGCGCAAGGGGTCCGGCGTGCTGGGGGTTTAGGGTTTAGGGTTTCAGGTTGCGCTGGGGTTTGGAGTGTAAGGTTTAGGCTTTAGACCTATGTGCCATTTATGGTATACACCTTGAAGCGGGATTCTACTCGTATATGGGCTCCCGCTCGCAGTCGCTTGAAACATTCAGTCCCCCCCCCAGTGAGGCCTATCAGACCACGAACTTCTTGTGAGCATTGCTTGGGGCTTGAAAAGGGGGTTTACGAATAAGATGAAGGGTCCCTTCTAGGGGTCCCTCCTTGTACCAGTGAAGTATTGGGGTTTAGTGTTGCGTCCTTACCTTGGGCGCTACCAAGTCGACAGAGAGCGTCGTGCATCGGTGGGTGCACGTACCCCGAGAGTCCACTAAACCTTTTTTGTGCCCTACTAGGGCCGAATTGAATCTACCTTCAAACTTCTAGGGGTCTCGTTCTGCATGAAATGCAGCCAAAAGCGGACCATGATTTTGCGAACTGACCACGATGTGCACCAACCTGGGTAAAGGATCCCAAATAGAGAGTGCATTTAGTCCCAAGGAGTGACCACCCAACGAAACCCTAAACCCTAAACCCTAAACCCTAAACCCTAAACCCTAAACCCTAAACCCTAAACCCTAAACCCTAAACCCTAAACCCTAACCCCAAAACACAACCGAAACTGCCGGATGTTGGCAGGATGCATGTCAGGTTGATAGGCGGTGTTTTGCGGTTCGTATAATCTGACAAGATATGTGGCACCTCCCTAATAAGGAACCCAGCAGGAGGGTCTAGGCATACACCAAAAAGGTGGTTTCCGAGTTTAGGGGTACCTTAAGGGGGTCCTGATTTTGGGGAGAATCCTCCTTTAGGGGTCCCCTACACTAAACCCTAAAAGAGGACATGCTTTGAGCCGTTAGAAAGTCCGGCCTCCTCACCATAGTAGTCCTGCGCGCACACATGTCAGAGGATTCCAGGTTCCAGTGCGGTTATTAGGATTTAGGGGTTTGGGGTTTAGGGGTTTAGGGTTTAGGGTTAGGGGTTGAGGGTTTGGGGTATAGGGTTTAGTGGTTTAAGGCTTACTCCTGAAACTCGTTTGGGGGTTAAGCTTCAGAGCTTCATGCGATCTGCAAAATAACAACCGTAAACCCGAAGCACTAAACAAAGCCAGAAACCCGAACCTAAAGCCCAAAACCTGAAGCCCTCGAGCCACAAAAGGTCAGGGTTTGGTGTCGAAGATCTTGTCTAGGGTATAAGCTCTAGGTTTTTGTGGATATAAAAGGGGTTTAGAACCAACAAATGTACTGTCAGAAATCCCTTCCTTTTGTAAATAAAAAAGATACAAGTATGAAAAGATGACTACGGGTCAGGGTTTGCGGTGCGGGGTACCCTAAACCCTAAACCCTGAAGCCTAAACCCGAAACCCCAAGCCCTCAAACCAAGAAGAAAAGGCTCAGGACCAAGAACTTTTTCTGCGGCACGCGCACGCGTGTTGAGGTGCCCTCAGCCTTGGGGACTGAACGAACCTCGAAAGGGTTCATGATCCATATAGGTTTAGGGTTTAGGGTTTACCCTAAACCCTAAACCCTAAACCCTAAACCCTAAACCCTAAACCCTAAACCCTAAACCCGAGCTAATCCCTTCGGCACAGGAAGTAGTCTTCAATGGCCGACTTGCGCAGCGGCCCGGTCCAACGAGCGTCGGTTCGGCATCGTGCCTTGCGGACTCAGGGGGTTGAGGGTTTAGGGCTACCCCTAAACCCTAAACCCTAAACCCTAAACCCTAAACCCTAAACCCTAAACCCTAAACCCTAAACCCTAAACCCTAAACCCTAAACCCAAATTGAAAACACTGTCGGGTTCAGAAGGAGGGCCACCCCCGAGTTTATCAGCAGAGGCATTAGAGACCGAAGTGGGGCTAGAAGTATCATTACTCAGCTTGCAAGTTTAGGGTTTAGGGTTTAGGGTTTAGGGTTTAGGGTTTAAGTGCCCTTTCCTAGCATAAACAACAAAAAACACATTCTAGTCGTCTGGGGTATCTGATCCACGTCTTTGGCGCTGCATTTAGCCAGCACAAATGGTGGGTTCTTGTTTCGATTTCCGTGGGGAATAGAAGAACCCTAACAGGGTTCGGAGTCCAAAAACCTTAACCGGGATTACAATAGCATAGGGTATCTGAACCAAAACCCTAAACCCTGAACCTTAAACCCCTAAACCCTTTTGAACCCTAACCCCAAACCCCCAAACCCTGGTGTTCCTTTGCTGCCCCGAGGAACATCCTTCTTGATCTGGTAACCCGCGTCGCGGAAGAGTTTCAGATACTCCGTCGGGGTGCAGTTCCTGAGACGGGAGGGTTTAGGGTTCAGGGTTGAGGGTTTAGTGTTTAGAACACCTAAGCCCTATAAACCCAAAGCCCCTGGAGCCTTAGACCCTAAGCCCCTTTCACTAAACATCAAAATCTGTTCTCGGTAGCAGCTCCCGCGTCTGCATTTCGCCCCAAACTTCGCTCTGTATGAGGCGCGGCCTCCGCGTCGGCTCGGGATGAGTATACACCCTATCCCTAGGGGGCCCATGGGGGCCCAAACACCCTTTTTTAACAGGCTTCTGTCTATCCGCCGCCCGGAAGTTCCGCACCTGTCCTGAACCCAAAATCCTTAACCCTATGCCCCAAGCCCAATGCATCCTACTAACCCTATGATCGAAACCCTACAAACCCCATAGTTTCGAGTTTCGGCCCATTTGGGGGGGGTTCCGAAATAGGGTGCCCTTGTTGGGGTGTCTCTTGAAAGGGACCCTAAAGTCTGGGGACTTATTGTGCACATCGGGCTTAGGCCACTGTGTCACCAGGAAGCCTGTAATACCCTCAAGTGTTCTAAACTGGCTGGCTCTTAGTAGGGCAGGAAGGAATGAGGTAACCTACATCCCCCTAAATATATATACACCTTTAAGGGCTTATACAGGGTACCTCGTTCCCCTATTGCCTACTAAGAACCAAGTGTTCTAAACCTGGGCCTCTGCTTCAGGAGCTCGCGTGCGCCCCGCCAGACATGGCACTCGAAGCCCTCGACGTCCACTTTCACGAAGCCGACCTGCTGGTCGGCGAACTTGAGCTTAGGAAGCTCCTCGTCCAGCACTTTCCTTGACTTCATAAAAGCCTTGGAGCCCTGGATCATAGGACCTCAAACCTTACTGAGTCACCCTAAACCCTAAACCCTAAACCCTAAACCCTAAACGCTGTAATCCTTACTGCAAACCTCCCAAAGAAGCTTTGTCATTCGAGCTGGGCGCGAAACAGCTCCAGAAGCTTGGGCTTTAGAGAAGCAGATCTCGATTGATATTGCTGTAGCTCCACATAAGTACTAGTACTAGTACTAGTCGTAGTAGTATCAGTCGCAGTAGTAGGCATAGTCGTCGCAGTCGTCGTATTCATACGTCATCGTCATAGTATTTAGTATCCGAACGCGTACCTAAACCTCAACCCTCCTGTGCCCAGCTGAACCCTAAAACCCTTTTTTTGCAACGCTAAGGAGCCCCAAAACCCTAAAACTCCATAGACCCATAATCACCCTAAACCCTGAACCCTAAACCCTCATCCCTAAACCCTAAATCCCTCCACCCTGCTGAAGCCCTAATTCAAGCCCTAACTAGGCCGAAATCCCACTACATCCCAATGACCCTATACCCTGGACCACCTAAACCCTAAACCCTAAGCCCTAGACCATAGACCCTAGACCCTAGACCCTAAACCCTAAACCCTAAACCCTACCCCCTAACTCTCCAACCCGAGTCTCATCTCAAAGCTGCCGCGCACAACGAAGTGATGCCCACGCTGGTGGACCACGTTCTCCCCACGGCACATCACAGTTCCATCACCTCCAGGGTTTAGGGTTTAGGGTTAGGGTTTAGGGTTTAGGGTTTAGGGTTTAGGGTTTAGGGTTTAGGGTTTTGGGTTTAGGGTTTAGGGTTTTGGGTTTAGGGTTTAGGGTTTAGGGTTGAGGGTTGAGGGTTGAGGGTGTAGGGTTTAGGGTGTAAGTTTCGGGAGGGCCACTGGGGATCGGGAGCCATATGCCTTCCCCCCAGAACAAGGACGCCTAGCCCAGCCGAGGGTCGCCGCACAGCGCTGACAAGAAAGTCTAAAGTCTATACGCTACAACCTTCAACCCGACTGGATCACAACTCAGCGTCTTTCAGTGTTGTTGTTGAAAGGGTTCGGGGTTGAGGGTTATAGGATCTCGCCCTATAAACCTCAGGGAGCTGACCTGTATTGGTCCGGTCAGACACCATCCGACAGGTCTCGGCGACGTCGGACAGGCCGGCTTCATGCAAGTCGATCCGGGGCGCAACTTCAGAGTTGGCGCAGAGGCTAGCCTAGGGTGTAGAGCTTAGCGCTTCGGGGTTCCAGGACTTAGCAAAGCCAACTATGCACAACTGCCCTTCCTTCCTGCGTCAAAGCCAAAACTTCCACCCGCCTAGACCCCCCCCCACCCTAAAACCCGAACCCTGCACCCTGGTTTAGGGTCTACAGGGCCCAAAGGGCTCAGGGCTTCATTGTAAGAATAACATAACCCAAACAAAAGTTAAATACATAAGGAAATAAAAAAACAAATATGAATATAAACAATTATAAATAAATAAATAAATATATATATATATATATATATTACACATAGGGCTTAGGGCTTAAATATACATGTAAACATAGATATAAATATGAACCTATATATATATATTATATACACCATATACATATATATATATATATACATATATATATATATCTGCATGGGAAGCTTCGGACTTCCAGAGGGCCCGAAAGGCCGCCCAGTTGCGCGGAGGAGCTTCAGGTTGGCGGGCATTGGCTCCCAGGTCGTCACGTTCCATCCCGCCTTGGCCAAGGAACGCGAGTAGCCCTAAACCCTAAACCCTAAACCCTAAACCCTAAACCGGAAACCCTAAACCCTAAACCCTAAACCCTAAACCCTGAACCCTAAACCCTAAACCCTAAACCCTAAACCCTAAACCCTAAACCCGAAACCCTAGCCCTAAACCCGAAACTCTAAACCCTGAACGCTTTCGGCCTTGGCCAAGGACAGCGAGTAGATGCCGAGGTTGCCGCCGATGTCCATGGCGTGCCCGGGCCTAGTATAGGATGGGCCTTAAAACCCTCTGAACAAGATCCCTTCAAGCTACGCATGTAAGATATCGGCTACGCTGATTTGCGTGCATCGTTTAAGTATGTCTTTTGGATCAGTAGTATGTCGCAAACTATATCCCTAAGGGCCCAAGACCCCAAGTAAGAAGGCCTTTGGGACCCCAAAACAAGTGAAAGGCCTCAAATCATGGGGCCTTGGGCCTTTACTTGGAGGAGGTTCATGAGTACGTATAACCCCAATTATAAGTCTACTAAGAACCTACTTATAGGGGACCTATAAGTACAGGTATAATTGGGGATATAAGTGATAAGTACCCCTGAAACTCCAAGTAGGATATCTGCGGAGCTGTGGAGGTTTAGGGCACCGGGTAAGGTTCGGTCATTGTTCCTGCCTGCCGTAGACAGCCGGATCGGCCATCTCCCAGCGGTGAACTGTCCTGAGCTTTTTGTGGGTTTAGGGTTTAGGGTTTTAGGGTTTTAGGGGTTTAGGGTTTAGGGTTTAGGGTTTAGGGTCTAGGGTTTAGGGTTTAGGGTGAGCCGTCCTGAGCTTCTCGCTCACAACGTCGTGCATGGCATACACTGCCATGGGGAAAGGCGGTAGCCCCCGGAGCTCCACGGTGGCCCAACGACCACCTGCCTTGAGGGGTTTAGGGTTTAGGGTTTGGGGTTTAGGGTTTAGGGTTTAGGGCCTGCCTTGAGGCCAAGTGCGCACAACAACTAAAAAATCTACCCAAACCCAAACCCAGTACCATCGGGTTTAGGGTTTAGGGAAATCCCAAACCTACCACGTTGACCCTAAAGCCTCTTTTTTGCTGTGTGGGGGGGGGGGGGGGGGGGGGGGAGGGGTTAATTTGTTGCCCCGAGGTGCCGGTAGACCACACCTGTCTCTTGCACGCGAGGTGGAGACCGGGGTTGTGGACGGCCAAGTCCGAGCAAGTGACCTAGGCCCAGGAGTAACCTAGGAATAACTAGGGTACCTTTTTTGGTTTCAAGGGGATTGTAAGGAAACCTAAACCCTAAACCCTAAACCCTAAACCCTAAACCCTAAACCCTAAACCCTAAACCCCCCCAAAAAACAACCTACTCTGGGTCCCATTGGCGCATGCTTCCGTGGCCCAGTTGTCTCGACCACACCTGTGGTCCAGGTGTCTGCCTCAGGGACAAAGAAGGGCCCGAAAAAGGGCTTAGGGTTTAGGGGTTAGGGTTGAGGGTTTAGGGTTTAGGGTTTAGGGTTTAGGGCTTAGGGTTTAAGGTTTACCTTATCTACCTGAAGGCTCCAATGTAGTTCCTTTTGGTTTAGTTAAAGGGGATTCTAGTAGAGTTTAGAGGTTTCGACTCAAGGTTTAGGAGGTTCAACCGTATTTCGTATTAGCATCACGTAGGCGACCCCAGTGTCAGGGTTCACTCGGCCGCCCAAAAGCCGCATACCATACTAAGTCTTAATAGAATAGATCGACGACCCCAGTTTCAGGGTTCAGTTGGCCGCCCCTCTAAAAGCCCACATCCCAAACCGCCTTAAAAACCAGAGGTTTCTTTGCCTCGGGATGAACTGACTTCGTCCCGGAGCTTGATGACGGCTGCTGCCCGATCCCTGGGCACGCGAAGGCTCATATGTGGAGGCTTTATGTCGGGTTTATAGTTTAGGGCGTTTGGGGTGTAGGGTTTAGGGTTTAGGGTTTAGGGCGTTTGGGGTGTAGGGTTTAGGGTTCAGCCCATGAGCCTTCAGGCAAGGGCTGGCCGGAAGAGTGCACAGGGAGCTGCCCATCGCCCAGCAAGACAAACAGAACGCAGCCAGTCACGCCAGCCAGAACCACCGCCAAGGACAGGGCGCGACGCTTGTGGCACACCATGGGCAGGGCATGGCATCCCTAAAGCCTAAACCCTCTACAACTCCAGACCCTAAACCCTAAACTCTAAACCCCGGGTCAGGGCTTTTTGGAGGACTTCGGGCCGCTTGCATCTTGGGACAGGCTTCTGGGCTTAGGGTTTTTTGGGGCTTGTAAGGCTAATACCCGAAACCCTAAACCCTAAACCCTAAACCCTAAACCCTAAACCCTAAACCCTAAACCCTAAACCCTAAACCCTAAACCCTAAACCCTAAACCCTAAGCCGGCCTTGCAGGGTTTAGTTTGGGGGTTATAGACACAGAGCTTGGGCGTTATAGAGTGTAGGGTTACAGGGTTGGCATCTGAACCTTGGTTGCTGAGTTCATAAGCCCCCAAAAAAGTGTACACTTTCAGTTATATAGGGGTTATCGTATCCCAAAAAAGTGAACCCTAAACCCTAAAACCCAAAACCCTAAACCCTCTTAGTAAAATATACTCACTCAGCTACTAAGGAACGAAGCTTGGTTTAGGAGCTTGGGCTGCCGTTCTAATAGGGTTTACTCCGCGCTGTCTCTGAGTCTGAGCAACTTAGCGGGACTGCACTGTGAACCAGCACATCATCGGGACCACCCCCGCAGCATTTTCTAATGGGTTTAGGTTTAGGGTTTACGGTTTAGGGTTTCGGGTTTAGGGTTTAGGGTTTAGGGATTTAGAGTTCCGGATCCTCGACTTTCAGGGGCCCTGGGCGTAGCGCGTTGGGTAAAGGGCTTGCAGTTTAGTCTGAACCCTGAACCCTGAACCCTACCTAAAACCTAAGCCTAAACCCTAAACCCTAACCCTAAACCCTAAACCCCTAAAGTGGTTGCAAACTTCCGGCAGTCCTTCCCCAACTCCCTGGCCAGCTTGTCTGCTGCAACACCTTTGGTGCGGGGAGTGCCTCAAATCCTGAAACCCCAAACCCAAAACCCAAAACCCTAAACCTAAATCTCCACTGAAAACCCTTAAGGGCTTGAGGACGTTTGTATAAAGGGTTTAGGTTTTAGGGTTTAGAGTTTAGGGTTTAGGGCTGAGAGGGCCCTAACTTTGCAAGTTCCTCAGAATCTAAATAGCCCAAAGTAGGGTCCAGGGTTTAGGGCTTGCATCTGTAGGAGATACCGCTTAAGCTTTTGGCAATGGAGACGGTTCAGGCAGATTCGCCCAACCAAGAGATGAAATGATCGTTCGGAGTCGTGTCGAGACTCTTAGGCGGCCCCTAAACCCTAAACCCTAAACCCTGAACCCTAAACCCTAAACCCTAAACCCTAAACCCTAAACCCTACAGACCCTAGATGTTCCTTGCACTTTGCAGCTGTCGAAGAACTCTTCAACATACCCCACTGGGCAGACCCTCAAGAGAAAACAAGGCGTGTGGAAAAATCATTCCGGGAAGTCTCCTTTTATAGGTCAAGGGGTATGGGTTTGGGGGGGGGGGGGGGGGGGGGTATATTTACCTATTCTTGGAAGCTGGTTTCGGTGCCGAAGGGGCCGATACCAGCGATGGCGGTGAGGGCCACATCTTCCATGCGAATGGCATGACCTGGTCCTTTCAACCCTAAACCCTAAACCCTGAACCCTGAACCCTCAACCCTAAACTAGGCCCAAAAGACCTTCTGAATCGAGTTTTCCATCGATGATAGTCCGAAAACCAGGTGTTTTCTGGATCGAATGGGCATTAGAGTCGCAGGTGCTCTGGGACTCCAAAGAACAGGAACTGAAGTTGGGTTTCGGGTTTAGGGTTAAGGGGTCTAGGGTTTCGGGCTTAGGGTTAAGGGGTTTAGGTTTGAGGTTTTTAGGGCATAGAGTAGTTTAGGGCTTTTAAGGTTGTAGGGGGTTTCAGGCTTCAAAACGAGGGTCCCCAGTCCCAAAGCGTCCTGGCCGCTTGCCAAAGGCGCAAAATCGCAGGAGCGCCTGTCACGTGGCTGGGGGGGGGGGTCCCACTGTCGGGGTTTAGGGTTTAGGGTTTAGGGTTTAGGGTTTAGGGTTTAGGGTTTAGGGGGATTTCCTTGTCCCGAACTTGTTGGTGACTTGTTCGGGAAGGGCGGGCACTGTACTGTATTTGGGGTTTAGGGTTTAGGGTTGCCGGCACCCCCGTGCGGTTCGGAAACGCCCGCTTAAGAGCTCGAAGAACCTGGTAAGTACTTTACCCCATCACTATCAGGACACTCGACCGTGAAATCCTAGCGGTACTTGCAACCCATGCTTACCCTAAACCCTAATTTAGGGTTTAAAACCCTTTTAAACCCAGGGCCACGTGCACACGAGCTCCACTCAATGTGCAACAGGGACATCCATGAAACATGAATCTTGCTATACACTGCTTGCCTGAGGGGTTAAAAACCAAAAACCGCACCCTAAAGCCTGAACCATAAGCCCTCAAACCTGCCCTACTCCGCTGCCCTGGCCCTCAAGTATGGAAGCAACTAGAGCCGCCGCAGCTAGATAGTTTGTAAACGATATGCCTAAACCCTAAACCCTAAACCCTAAACCCTAAACCCTAACCCTAATCCCTAAACCCCAAACCTTCTGGCCTCGCAGGAAGCCACGGAGAGGCCGAAGATCCGCAACACCTGCTGCAGGTCCTCTGGGCCATGGGGCGGCTGAGGGGCTGGGTAGGTTGATGGGCGGCTGTTCATAGTTAGGGTTTAGGGTTTAGGGTTTAGGGTTTAGGGTTTGTATTCAGTGTGACTGGAATTTCTGGGTTTAGGGTTTAGGGGGTTCATTTAGGGTTCACCAAGGCTACAGCACCCGTGTGAACCCAAAAGTCCTACCTAGGGTTTAGGGTTTGGGGCTTAGGCCGTACGATCCCCATACTCAACCCGATAAAGGGCAACCCTAAACCCTAGACCCTAGACCCTAAACCCTAAACCCTAAACCCAAAACCCAAAACCCAAAACCCTGGCATAATGATGCTGCCATCCTGGTGCACCCATCTAAGCCCAAAAAACACCCCCTGATTTCAACCCCTCCGGTCCACGGCTGCGATCGAGGCGACGTCGTCACCTTTGGACGACACCTTTGTGGCTTTTGCGGTTTAGGGTCTAAGGTTTAGGGTTTAGGGTTTTTTCGCTCTCGCATAGCTGGGTTTAGGGTTTAGGGTTTAGGGTTTAGGGTTTTTTGCTTGCACATCAGGCTGCGAACCGAGAATTTGGTTTTAGCTTGGGCTGGGGCGTGTTGGAGTATAACTTCCAAAATGCCTCCACTTCAAGAAGTCCGAGGTACCCTAAACCCTGAACCCTAAACCCTAGCCCTAAACCCTAAACCCTAAACCCCAAACCCTAAACCCTAAACCCTAAACCCGAAACCCACCCTGAGTCGCTCCACTTAAAACCCCAAAGGCAGAACTCCACCACCAACTAGGACCTAGGAGTCACCTAGGAATGAAACGGGTGCCCTGTTTCTTTCAAAGGGGCTTATAAGGGACCCCCGAACCCTAAAACACGCACTTGAGGGCCTACTCTGGGTCCTAGTAGCCCTAAACCCTAAACCCTAAACCCTAAACAATGTCCTAGAACAGAAAGTGCTGGGAATCTTCAGGACCGCCGGTGCCTGGGCGCTTTGCTTCTTCGCCAGCCTTTCCAACAAAGGCCAGGGATGAAGACTCGTGCCATGAGTTTAGGGTTTAGGGTTTAGGGTTTAGGGTTTAGGGTTTAGGGTTTAGGGTTTAGGGTTATGCTCCTAATATGGCCCTAAAACTGGGTTCATGCTCCCCTAGGGATCTTAATATAAAAGTGTCTCCAAATCCCAAGGGTACAACCTTCCAAGGGTCCAAGGTATGTCCCGTAGACAAAGGCAAGCGCTGGGATGGGGCATGAGGTGTTGAGCGGGTTTAGGGTTTGGGGTTTAGCGAGTGGGTAAAACCTAAATCCTAAAGCCCTAAACCTTGGGATGTTCCCCCTTTTCCTAACAGTCCTTAATAGGAATCAACATAAAGGGGGTTTAATAATCCCGATTCAGGACTGTTAGTATAAAGAGAATCACCCCAACCTAACCCCCAAAACCCTGAAACCGAAAAAAAGCCCACAGGCTGAGTGGGGTTGCGGCTTGAGGTCTTGAACGCAAGTTTTATTTTTTGGAAGGACCTCAATAATTCGAATGGGGCTTTGGGGGGAAATTAGTAATTCGTAAAAATTTATAGGAACTAACAGGGACTGTTATTAATAATTATCAAGGGACAATTCGGAATATTATGTGCAATACAAAAGAATATTATTCGTAATTCTAAGGGGCACTGAGGGAATATAACCCCTATACCCTAAATCCTAAACCATATATTAGCAAATATACAGACTATGAGGGAATGCTATACCCTTAGTGGCCCAGAAACCATATTACAATAAGGGCACCCTTTTTGTTGGCTGGCTGATTTTATAAGGGACCCCATAACCAGAAAAAGGGTAAAGGGTACCACTGGGCTACCAAGTATTAGCAACTATTCCGACCCCCCTATGAACCCTAAACCCTAAACCCTAAACCCCTCTTTGCAATGCCTCCGGCCAAGCTCGACCAGGCAGCGCCATGCCATGACCTTCAATGGATTGTGGTTTAGGGCTTAGGGTGTAGGGTTTAGGGTTTAGGATTATACAAAAATATATACAAATACATATGTATGTAATATATATATATATATATATATATATTAGATAGATAGGTAGATAGATAGATAGATAGATGGAAAAATGTCTACAGGGTGCAGGCGGTGTAGTGTTTAGGGTTTAGGGTTAAGGCTTTGCAGCTTAAGCTTGATCAAACTTCCGAACCTCCACCAGGACTTAGGGCTTGAATAGGACTCTGGGGGCTGTCTGGCAAAAGTCTCAACAGCTAGACTCCAGGCCATACCCCTGAAAAAACGCCAAACTCCAAAACCCCAACACACTAAACCCTGCGAGGCCCCAACAAACTGCCTAAATCCCCCAAACAACCCTGAACCGTCCAAACCTAAACCCCAGCTAAGCATGAAGCCCTCTTTCTTGCCTCAGGTCTCCTGG